AATAAAATTTTCTTTACTGCATGTTTACTTTTTCCAGTCGCGGCATCCATTTGATGTGCGTCTGTTTCCTTTCTTTTCATTGTATTCATTTTCTGTCCTTGTCTACTGAAATCAGGTTTCGCCGAGCTCGCTGTGCTGAGAGTGGTGGGAGAAGAGTGAGGCTGGGTCGTGGAAATTTAACCGAGCAGATTTCAGTGAAATTTAGCCGAGCATTACTGTAACTAACACTACCGTCTTCGCTGTAGGAAGCTGACATCGTCAAGTGTCGAACAGCCGTTGACACAGCAGGGATTCCAACCTGACTATCTATAGGGTGTCCTATTCAAAACTTTGGAGATACGTCGACAGTTGTAGCGTTGCCGGCCGCCGGAAATTTGTCTGCCCTAACCTAGCCTACGTATAAATCAAATGTGTTTAATTCCTTGAGAATTAGTAATAAAATATAAAACATAACGTAACGTAACTAAAAAAATGGATTTTACATGGAACTGCCTATAGAAACGGAAGCCGATATCGCTATGGTGTGAACGGCTGTTCGACACTTGACGATGACGGTTGCTACAGCAAAGACGGTAGTGTTAGTTGCGTCTGTACAGGAAAAATTCTATGTATTGTACGAAAGTTTTTAATTAATATCTCGGAAATTAATAGGAAGCCGATGATACCACTTTATATTTGGGGTCCCCTCCACCCTCCCCCTTCCTCTCAAAATTTCATCTTGATCGGCGACTAGTCGTATTCGGAACTACAGCCTTAGTAATTTATACAATATTATACATTTATTAAAAATAAAATGTTAGCGCAAAAAATTTTTCGAAATTCAAAATGCGAATGCAATTCAAATTTGACGTTTTTCAGGAACTTTATTTTTGATATAAAAAATATCACAACGTAAATGTTAATAATTTTTTAAAATACCATACTTTGATATTTATGTCTCTTCAATCGTCTTTGAAAACAAAATTAAAATTATAATTTATCTTATCGTTACAAGCTATTTTAATACATGTATGAAATATATTTGATGACGATACTGATTTGACTAAAAATGATAAGCACGAATTTCTAATTCAATAACACTCTTCAACAGCCAATTTGAGTGCGTGCACTGATTATGTGTCTGTAAATAACTGTTTTTTATTCATCAATCTCAATTTTTGAAAAATTTGATTTTGAAAATAATTTATATTGTAACGTAACCAGTAGCGGAACTAGGAGGGGGTCAAAACAATCAGTTAACCCCTCTATGAAGAAATTAGCAACCTTTCCTTAAATAAATATTGGAATATTTTTAGAAACTTCAAAAATTGTTGTCGGAAATAAACAAAAATGAAGAAAATTATTAATTAATTAAACTTAATATTATTAAGACACTAATCAATTTTTGTTGACTCCCCTATCGGACAATTTGTTTTAATTTCAAACTTTTGTTCATTTTTCTGAACACATCAATATCAATTTTTAATTTTAGGACCCATATTAGTTTAATAAGTGTTTGAAGTACGATCATTTTGTGTCTACATAAGAGGAAACGTAAAAAACTGTATTTTATTTTTTTTCGTCGAAGTATGTTTATTTATATAATTTAAATATTTTTTATTGAAGAAATAAAATGTCAGAGAATACGAAAGTTAATGTTAAAATAAAAGAACATTTAACTTAACCTGTTAGCTGTAAAATTTATTTTCAAAGGTCTACCTTCAGTTCAGAATTGAAACTATGTAATGACGAGTATATACGACAATTAAATTACCTTGTTTTTACTTTTTATTGCAATTTCATATTTCCAAACTAAATGATAGTTTTTTTTCATGCGGCGTATATACTCGTCAAACAAACCATATTTGCGTTTTTAGGTGACGTATATACTTATCAAACACACTTAACAGGTTAAAAGTTACGAAATTAATCACACAGAACGTATCTATTTTATCTAGCAGAAAAGTGTACTTGTTTCTCTGAATCACCAAATATTTTTCAACCTAACCTGAAAGGTGTAAAATTAAAATAACATCACGAGATAAAACAGATTCTTCTCTTTCTCAAGAAAACACTAAGAAAGTAACAACGTACATTTATTTTTCAAACCAAGAAGCAAAACAGCTTCCTGAAGTAACGACAGTGGTAATCAACTCCATGAAGCAACCCGCAGTACGTTAAACACAACTCCAGGAGCCACAGTGGCATTGAGCACCTCTGGCAGCGCCCCCCACTCTCACAGAACTATTTTGCTTTCTAACTAATAAAAAATTCTGTGCTGTAACTTGATCTACTTTGTTCTTGAATTTTCAAATAAATTAAACGGTATTCTGAGAAACTGAAAGAGTTGAAAAAAATATAAATAATTTCTTAAAAACTGAGACTGGTGTAGAAAAAGGTTTAGATTCGTAATCAGCGCATGAAATCCTAAAGGAAATGCATGGTAGATATCGGAACACATAAAATGTGTTAGAGAGTGTAATTGATAGGATTAAATACTCAAGAAGATTAGATACCTAGTGACATTGCTGAAGCAACGATACAGAACATTATTTTTGTCAGTAAAAGCAGTAGAATGTTCACACGTAATTTAATTTGGTAAATTCAGATTATGGAGCGGATGCAAGGTCATTTAGTACCTTACTTGATCATTTAAAATGCCTTAAATTTATTTTATATCCAATTTTTCAAGCATCTGACTCATTTTCATAAATTTGTCTTTTAGATTGACACAAGGGTGCTTAATTTGCGAAGGAAGAAATGGAGCACACGCGTGGATACGATCCGTGGTTATATCACATCGATCCATTGCGTTGCTAACGAATAATAGTCGAGCAAACGCGCAGTCAAACTCACGTGTTTTATTTGCGCTTGCTTCCGACGAAATTTTCTTTCAGAAATGTTTTAATTCTTCCAACGACACTTCCCTCTCCATTTTATTTGTCACGTTACTCTAGTTTCATTTTTTCAATCATATAGTTGTCATAAGTACTAATAAATATTATTAGTGTTAATATTTCTTAATAAAAATAACTCTAATCATCTTGCATTTTTAATAAATTTTGTAACAGCATAAATACGATTTTACACATGTATATTTGAAGTAGGAATTGATTTACGAAACGCTTATCCCATAAAATGATATTTTTGTACTTTTTTCTTGTTCAAAAATCTTGATTTACGTTGAGATCGCGAACAAAGTCTGCTTTCGAATAGGATACTTCTTATTCACAAAATCAATGTTTCCAGTAGTCACAAATCGAAATCACATTCGTGTTACGTACACTTGTAGCTTGTGCATCGATCTCGTGAAGTTTCAATAACAACGATAAATCTTTTAAACTCAAACTTAAGCGCGAATAACTTGTTATTAATAATAAACGACTGAAATGAAATATTCCCGAATAATACGATGTCATTTCGTGAAATACACTAGGATCGTGACCAAACCCCTTTTTTTGCGAACGCCGTATCATGGAGAGAAAAGGTCGCAGGGTTGAAATTTAAACGCAGAAAATATAATTGGAAGTGAAAGAAACACTCACTCGTCCAGTAGTTCCTCATCCTCCAAAAGAAGACTCATCTTCTTTTCACTTGAAAGACTTTTTTGTAATCACTACACAAGCCGATTTCTATGTCGAACCTCGATTCTCTTTACTAAAGGGGTGTAGTCCTTACGATGATCCTCCGCAGGACTACCGTCGCAAAAATGATATCACGGTGGTACACATTAGGCGCGCGCGCGCGCTTTCTCACCGCTCTAGACATCTGTTTCTCAGTGGCGACATTTTCGCCTTAATCTGGCAGAATTCCGTTTGGAAATGCACCGCTAGGTGGCTCACTTCCTTCCATTGGTCTATATTCTACATTGTGCGTTCTCATTCCGATGCGCATACCACGGCCCGTAACAGAAAAATGGCGCGTACTCTACTAATATTTGAATTCGTAAATTGAGATTCTTAGTACAATTTACTATTTTTCAACAACTTTTTTATGTTACATATAAAGTTAGGCATTTAGAAAATTTAGATGAACTTAGGTGATATTTAAATAAAATAATAAGAAAAATAAAGCAGTATTTTATGTTCTTTTATAAAAATGGTTAATTGAATCTATGTCACAATATCTACAGACTGTGATTGGTATCAAAGACTATGCGACTAAATATTAATATATTAAATTATGTATTGTAATGTTATGAATTATACGCATATTATAAATTTTGTAAAATACTTGTACTTACTTTTTTATTTTCATTTTTTTATACAGATAATTACACACTTTTGGGTAATTTTGTTAATCGTTCATTAAACCATTGTGCTGTTGCATAGAAATGTGTATTATTATATTTATTTCCTCGACAATTTTCATGTCCTATATACATAAGTATAGATTCAATTCTGTGTGTAACTGTATATAAATTGTACAAGAGTGTAAACATAAACAATTTTGTAATTTTCAAAGAGCGTACAAAAATATTTTGTATGTTTTTTTTATCTTTCTCCATTTTCTTTACTGCAATTTTATATGAATGGTGTTTGTTAATCAATTTGGACCATTGCTTTGGCCCTTCATGGGAATCTTTGATGGAAAATTTAGTTAATAAGGTAAAATAAAGGTTCTTAATTAATTAATACATAGTGCATTAACAATAAATTAATATAAAGTTGAATGGGCATATCATTATTAAATGAAAATACATTTAAATTTCTTTTTTTCAATTATATTTATTAAATATAATTTTTACATGATGAAAGCAAAAGGTAACTTAATGAAACGTGGTCTTCTGAGAGATAATAGAAATAGGATTAGGGATTAGTGTTTTAATCAAAGATTAACATATTTTTAGAGGTGAACTTACGAGGTGAATGTTGTAAGATGCACCAATGTTACTGTCACAAACTGTGTTTATTTTTATCATTAATGTGTATTATTTATTATAAATAAGTTAGAAACATTGATTTCATTTTGGGCTTGGTAGGTGTTTACATTTTATACACACAAAAAGAATACCCAACGTATTATGCTTTCAGAAATGTGTATACTTTTGACAAAAAATGGTTTACAAATGAGCTATAGCCACAAATTTGCGCGTCATTCGCTCGTTTTCGATTCAGGCGAAAGAAAGCCTGTTTGTTTCAACCAATTTTCTATCTTCTATTAAAATGTTTCACACATGATGCACACACACCACACGTTTACATTCTCCCTCTCCCTCACGCGCACGCACACACATACACATGCACTCGCGCTACCATACGTTTTTCATTACCGTCGTTTTGCATTTCTAGTACATATTTATTTCCTCTCCTTCGCTACCAGTCGTACGCTTGAATCACACACACTCCCACTGGAAACCAAGCAATATTAATATTAATTTTTAATATTATTATTTTTATTATTATTATTACTAATATTATTATTATTATTTATTATTATTATTCAATATTATTTGTTATTATCTCTTAATATTATATTTTATCCAATGTATTTATATATTTTTTTATTCTTTCATATAAACTCAGTGTTTCAACCACAGTAGGTATGACATATGCTGCCCAGTGTGCGTGCAGTGTCAGCAGGATCAGAGTTGGACGTTCAGGTAGTACAAGTCCAAACGCCGCACTCTTAATTTTATCAATCTGTCTAACACCGTAAAAGTTTATCGTGCAAGTACTCCCTAGATTCGTGCGAAGCAGTTTGTACCATCTTCGTACAAATGTTCACGCTCGATGGAACATTAAAAGATGGTAGAAACGACAAACAGTCGAACCAGTAGAGAATACAAGCAATGGGCAGCGCGCTAGCCAGCATGAGCGAGCGCAGGCAGTGAGCAGTTCATACATACGTACACTGTTAACATGGATACAATGCGAGCGAGGAACATATTATGTTCTTGAAACATGTCCCTTGCAACACGATACTGTGCCAACAAGCGAGGACCGGATAAAAGAAAAGCCACCGTTACGATTAAAAGTTTTCTGTTAATTTTTAATCGTAACCGAAAATTTTATTATTGTTATGGCATTAAATCACAGTCCTCACATTCTGTGCACAGCTTATGAGGACATTCGGCAGCAGAAGAACCTTCTGCAACCTCCCGCCTCCTAATTACCTAAATGTTCCATCAAACAGATGTTTGCTAAAAGGTTATTGATATTGAAGGGTGATAAACTTTTCTTCTTGCTGGTTTCATGTTGCCCACAACCCCCCTCCCTCCCCCTTCCCTCAACCCTATCTCTCACCCTTTATCTCTGGCGCTACCTTATGTTTCAGTTTATATTTAATTTATAACAATATTTTTACGATGAATTATGAATTTGAGTCGCATGCAGAAAAAACTTTTATTCGCTTCTGGCACAGATAAAAAAACACTTTGGCTTTTGCATCTAAGAAAGGATTGCAATAAAAACACCACACTAGTAAATGGCACTAGAATTGCTCTCACTTGTGTCACTGACTACTTGTGATTAAAAAGCGTTTGTCCTTCTTCGCTTCAGTTTCTTGCTGAGATCTCTCAATTTGAGATAAACACTTGGACAGACATTGTATGGCATGGCTGCACTCTATCTTATACGTTTATTTATATGTTGCTCGTGATATTGTTATATAAAAATCAGATGATTATGCAGTCAGCCAGGCATGATTGACTAAACTAATCTATAAAAAGGTAACAAATTCAACAAATAGAGTACGAAACTAAATCAATTTGTTGGTATTGACAGTGAAAAGGTTAGGAAAGAACGTATAACGCTCAGATTTAGGTCCATATTTGTTCATCGCTGTTACCTCCGTCATAAATTTTACTAATTAGTTGGTACACTTGTAATGGAGCAGCAACAGTACGTTGATGGCACCACAAAATTACTGTTTACTTTCTGCTTTTTTTTTTCGTCTCTTCTTCATTTGTAACTTGACAGAATTCACACTAATACCTTGGTCAGGGTATAAGAAAAATTTTTAAATCCATCTTGAGTGTTATATATTGTCATCTAAACCAAATTGTACTCTTTTAAGTTTGACTGGAGAATGGTGTCTTTCACTGCTGCAAATACAAATCTGATGTTTTCAGTATCTGTAAAGGGAGAAAAGTATTTTAAGTATTTATAACTTATGGATGCGTGTATTATTTCATTAACAATACAAATAACATGCTAAGACCATTAGCGTAACTAAGATCTTTTTCTGAAGCAGGCTAGGTCCCTTAGAAATTTTGGAATTTGAAAATGTTAAAACTTTAAAATCTTAGAATCATAGAATTTGAAAATGTTCAGAAGGCCAGTTCCCAACCCTATCTAGTTACACCAATGGTTAACACATTAATGAGTTAATTAAGCAGAAAGCATAGTTAGTAATTTTATGATCTGAAGAAATGTGAAAAAAACACACACTTACCTTTAGTAAAAAAAAATCAGAATGAACTGAAGTTTGACACACATGCAACAGGCAATTTCCGTCTTTTTGTAAAATTTACAACATTAATATATGTATGTATATATAATGGAATATAGTTTATTTTATAAGAATCATTAAAAGAATTAGTTGTATCGCATAACAGTGTATTTACATTAAATAATCAAAGCACAAAAATTTATGACAATTTCGCTTATCTTTGTAATTGGAATATTTGAAATAATAAATTGTACAAGTTATAATAGACTGCAGAGATTTTATAAAACATGTATAAAATAAAAGAAAGCTCTATGCAAGGTAATGCATTTTGTTCAAACTATAATTTTGCAGAAATATCAAATGCCTTTGAATTATTGAGATAGGTTCCACACTCCCACAAATATGAAATACATTATTTATTGATATATTCAACTGTGCTTTATTTAACAAAATAAGAAATCAACCAGATCTATTAATGAAAGAATCTATTGTTGTTAACAGTTTCCTGAGCAGAAGATAATTACAATTTAATGGAATTTAGAGATTTAAGAAATTATGGAATTACATTTAACTGTATGCAAACAAATATGGTTTGTATGATCCATGCATTAAAACTTTGTGCAGAGTATAGTATTCCTTTCGATAACAGTGAATTTCTTCCAAATAACATTAATCGGACTACTAAAACTATATCATTGAATTTGTAACGCTAATGAAACTAAACAACTGTTTCTTCCATTTCCCCCTTTTTTTACTCGTTATGATGAATTTTATTAGAAATTTTTATGTACGAGTTAGGTTATACAGGGGAAAAACATTGGCAGTCTTAATATTTTACACAGGAAATAAGCTAATCCATTTTTACTATTGATTTATCAACGTCTGATTAAACATGAACAATGATCTTGTAAAAAATCTGTGTAAGCTCGCAACAAAAGAAATATAATGCGTGTAACGTTATATCCAAAGATCACATATGTATATAAATCCGAAACATTGTCTCGAATCATATTAGGCAAGATTAAATTCTTTAAGCGCACTTTGCATAATCGTATCTTTAACAGCACAGAATACAAGCTTGATATTTTCTGTGTCTAATCAATAATCCCATAAACGCAGCATGCAATAATAAACAACATAACAATATTAATAAATATCCATTTTGAACATGGAAAATCAACTTAATACATTAGAATGTAAGTACAATTTTGTTATAATAAAATTTGTCATACATGGTAGTTATTAAATTACATAAACATATTTACAAGCTTCAAACGTTCTAAAATAAGTTGATTCTCCTACATTAAATATTATAATAGTTACGCACCTTTTGTTAGGACATAGAGGCAACATGCATGTAACTTTATACAACATATACAATTAAAAAAGCAGAAATCAAATGCGCATTAGCATCAAATTACTAGCAGTCTACCTGTGGCACATGTAAAATGTGAATAAATGATCTTCTCAGTGTCTGGATTCAAGTCGACAAACATCCTTAAAATGAATTCTCTAGCAGTTGAGGCATTTCTTTGTGGGCCTGTGAAATATACAAAGCAAGCATATAAATCGACATTACTTTAATTCATATTTACTCAAGCACATACCATAAGTGTTTCTTTATTACAATTACAAATTATCAGTGGGACATTATTTTAGAAGTTGATTAATTTTTATATCAGTTATTACATTACCTATAAAAATGCAAAAGGAAGTCATAGCTATAAATTAAAAAGTTATGTTTCTATATTATTTAAGAAAATGAGGAGAGAACGATGAATGCTGAAACTGATGATGTAAAAATTTCCGCCTCTCTATTTTACCAAACCAGTACTATCCTTTTTATTTAAATCCAATAAATGTTAAAGATCGAATTACCGAATTAGATTCTATTAACTTCCAAAGAAACCTTTAAAAAAACTTTACCAATCAAATAAATACCTTATATAAGAATGACAAATATAGATAGATATTACATAATTCTGGATATTTAAAAAAAATTTGGCTAAATCTAATAAACTCATTTACAATTGGAAACACAGATTTTACCCTAACTCTGTATTATTTATTATAAACAAGACTATATAGTATCGTACAAAAATGTTAGTTTTTTTTTTAAACCTCATTCACTCCTTAATTATTATAACTGTACTGATAAAATAATTTCTACAATTTTGTTCCACTTTCCAGGCAATTGGTGAATTCAGTGATGCATTTGTCAACTTTTTCAATGCATAAAAATGCACACAGATAATATTGAAAAGATTGCAATCTGTTGGGACCAAATCTGATGAATACACTACAACAAAACTTTTCAACCTAGACTGAAAATCTGTTCTTTATGATTCACGCGACATGAAGCCAAACATTGTCATGAAGCAGAATAATTTTCCTAGAACCTCTTCCTATATATGGCCTCTTGTGTCTCAATTCGTTACTTAACCATTTCATTACTAAAATACTAATAACATTCTTCCATAAAGGATAAACTTAATCGTGACATTCTGAAGAGTAGTGAAATGAATTCACATAGTAATCTGATATAAAAATTCCAAATTTTATCTTTCATATTCACTGTGAATGTGAATCATCTGCGATGATCATCCAAAGTGAAATAGTGTCAATTTGGAATTATGTAAATGACCATATGAGAATTAGTGACAGAATAATGCTACAAAAGTACAGTAAAGATGAGACATTATATTTTAACTCAAGCAAGGAATCTCATTGCATGGCTAAATTTCAGTCATAAAAATCTCCTATGACAAATTCATGAAAAATAATTCTTGCAAAAGAGGGGCAAGGACATAGGAAATGAATAGTAAAATTAAAATATGTATTGGGAACGATTTAACCAAGGAACTGGTTTAGGCCAGAGGTCAGCAACCTTTACACTAAAAAGGGCATCCCAAGTAACTAGCTTGTGACAAATAACACTTTATCTTAATTTTGCTAGAGAAAAGTTGTAAACTCAGCATATTTATTTTAAACAAATCTATTAATTCAAAATTCTACTTACAAACTTAAGTATGTACTTAAAAAAAAGTATTAATGTGATAGTTGGCACTGAAGATATTCAGCTCTTATTTATTATAATCTAGTACGGAGTTGAAATTTCTGGATTTTAAACAGTGGTCTAAATCAGAATTTGTTGATATTTGGATTTCAAATTCTTCATATTTTAAAAAAGAGATTCACATAAATATGTCAGAAAGTATTTTAAAATCTTTTAAGGACACACCACTGGTTTGTTTTACACAGAATTGTTACCTGCTGTTGCTAACCCCTGGTTCAGATAATTAGATAAAAAGACCTTCTAAAGGAGTTTTGAAGCACTCTCTTCTCGTGATGAGCGTGATACCAGTCTTTTTCATGAGTTTTAAGCAATTTGGTACCTTAAGTACTCTGTGTGCCTCAAAAGAAGGCACCTGGGACAAACAAAGCCAGAAGAGGGATCTTTGTACACATTGTTGACTTCCGCATTTAACACAAGTCTAATTACTAATTACTTTGACCGATAATAAGCTACAGCTGAAAGTAAGTACTGTGCACCGATGACAAGATGTCCCATGAGAAGCACGCATTTGCATTTGTCTCATGGGACATCTTATCATCGGTGCACTATACATGTGAGCTTTCTTCAGGGGTACAGACTGTGCGTCAAAGCAGTAGTAAATACTGTAAGTATCAAAAGGTAATCAGTTTTCAAATAATATTTACAAAAATCAATCTTTTAACACATTCAGAATGGCAAACAAAATTCACAAAAAGACTGCTGCTGCCGACTATATAACTCAAGGGATGATTCTTAACCTCCAAACATCAACCAAAATAACTGAATTTCTCCAAAATATTTCTTACAAATTAAAACAGGTTCTATACAGATTGTAAGTTGCAAGAGATGTAAGAATTGCTATGAAATGTTTTGTAAAAAAAAAAGAAATTGCAAAAAGGGGTACGAATTTTGATGAAATTCGTGATCAAATCTTGATCAAATCTGATCAAGTTAACATGCCAAACTTGGCATCCACAAAATTACGTACATTTTGAAAATCGTTTCTTGCTTTTTATTCTGTTTTATTAGATTTCTTCTACATATTCAGAACTGTAGCAATTAAAAGGATACAAGGATATCTTCTAGATTTAGCATTTTTAAAACTTTGGGTACCTTTTGATATCTACTTATTGGTCTGTGCTTCTGATACCATGATATTTTGTCGTTAGATACTGATACCACTCAGCATCATAACTAGTGATGGAGAGTCTTTAGCAAATTTTCAATTAACCTTTTCGCTACCACGCGAATTTTTGAACTTGCACCAGTGGGACACGAGACAAATTTCATATTAAAAATTTTATAATGGCAAAGAACTGCGAAATATATTAAAATAATGGTACAATCTTGCCAATAGCACATTTGTCTTAGTGGTGGTCACCCGTGACCACCGTGACTCAAATGAAAAGACAAGCGCCGGTCCCCTGGGACCACCGTGGCAGCGAAAGGGTTAATTCAAGTATGCTTAGGTTTTGAATCATTGCATTTCATTTTATATGAACCTCGAAAGTCTTGAAAATATTGAAACTTAAAGTATTCACAAATTTGGGTTTTGCGGTAGCCAGAAAGACAGTTGTCTTACACTAGTATTTCTACTGACACGTAGTATGTATTTCTTATAGAGATTTTTATACTATGAATTTGAAAACCGTTATTTCGTCTTTAGGCCATTACCAAGCTAAATTCATGAATGGTCTCAGTTTTAACTATCTGAAGATTTTCAATACTATAGTATATTTATATTTGAAGTGCTTCGCAGACCATCATTACCTAAACTCTGTATATTGAATAACAGTATCACGCCTATACTTCATTAATCCCTTCAATTGATTCTATAATAGGACAAGGGTTAAGCTTTTAGGGGAATGCAATTAGAACTTTGCAAATCATAATTACTGGCTCGAGGTTTTACTGGAAATTTGTCTACAAAACATCTACAATATCTCTGTCAGGATGTGTTGTACTTGAACAGACCTGTCGCCGCCGTGAAATGAGAGTAGCACATGCGGTCAGGATCAGGATTCGCACTAAGATAGACCTTTAAGATGAATTCCCTGGCTGGTACATCTTGCTGTTTAGGGCCTATACCATAAAACTAATTCGTTTACTAATAATAAAATGAATAATACACTCGAAGAAAATAATGCAAAATAATTATAGAATTTGATCCTCTGAATGATCATTGATACTTTTATTCTAAAATCTCAAATGGTATGTACCTTTTAAGGAGATACAAGTATCTATCAATAATTATTATTGACTTGAAGGTTGTTTGAATTAAATTATTAATACAGTGTCAATTTCATGAATAAATTGATTATGAAAATAAATGTACTTACCATCGTATTCAGGAAAATAGTCAACAAGATGGGAATACATAATCTTCTCTTCAAGCAGATCTTTTTTGTTTAGGAACAAAATGACTGAGGAGTGTTGAAACCAAGGATATGTGATGATTGTTTTGAACAGTGCCTTACTTTCCTCCATTCGATTCTAAAAATGAATAATAGTCATTTTTAAATACAATTATATCTTAACGTATGATTATAATCACACTGTGATCATATTTACCTCGTTCTCCGACTCAAACAAAATTTGATCATATTCGCTTAAGGCTACTAAGAAGATTATAGAAGTAACATTTTCGAAACAGTGAATCCACTTTCTTCTTTCTGATCTCTGTCCACCAACATCTACCATCCTGTAAAGTACATTGATATAACATTGTTTAGTACTTAATGGTATTTTAAAAGTACTTTTTCACTACCAAACAGACAACTTGCAATTATTAAATACAATATATCTACTACTATCTTACATATTACTACTTAAAGTACTAAAACAGTTACCAATTTAGTAAAGTGGCATCTATAATACTCTGTAGCTACAGGGTGTCCCAGAACTGGGCTAGGACCCGTGGAGGGACGATTGCTGAGGTCATTCTAAACAACTTTTTCCTTTGCCAAAAATGTTGGTTATTAACGAAATACACTGGCCAATTAGAACGCGCCTTTAGCACGGGCCGAACCGTTCTTCATGAACAACCAATAATTCTATACTATTATTCCTTTCTTTTTTTAATTCATTATTCGATACAACTTTTGCCCAACGAATTCTATTATACCGACGTGGTGCCAATGCACTTGATCACGACCACGGACGCAGAGCATGCCCAACACTCTTGCGGTTCGGCCCGCGCTAAAGGCGCGCTCTGATTGGCCAGTGTTTTTCGTTAATAATTCGAAAACGAAGCTTTAACCAACATTTTGGCAAAGGAAAAAGTTGTTTAGAATGACCTTAGCAATCATCCCTCCACGGCTCCTACCCCAGTTCTGAGACACCCTGTATAATTGCATGGGAAACATGCAAGCAATAAGCTACTTCAAGCGAAAGAATAGTATAAATTTGAAGGGGAGAAAAAAAAATGAAAGGAACGTAAGATAAATCTAGTGTAATATCACAATCTTATTTCTCAAAAAGTAATCATTTCAAAATTCATAGTACACGCAATACAAGTACACCATTATACAATCACATCATGCTAGGTATAAATATAATCAAATGGCACTAAAACCAAATGTAAAAATAATAATATATATATTTCGGTACTTTAATTCATTACTCCGAGTTAGTAGTTAAGTGACTACTGATTACTAACAGTAGAACTAAATTGAAGTAACAAGTGTGTTAGTACCTAAATATGATGGAGTCCAGATCAAACGGATATTCTATAATGCCAGTTGTGGGAGCTCGGGCCCGAAGAATGTCTTGTTCGGTAGGAAGGAAGTCGGGCTTTTCGATACGTTCTAGATCACTAAGATAACTGCAAAACAAACGAAGCCACATTCTGGTAGTGTACATGCCATGCATGTATTAAAAGGCGATTAAGAGGAGAAGGGGGAAATGATGAAATATATCATGAAACAGCTCACGTATGAGCATCGCTCCTGTCTGTAAGAATTTTTCATAAGGTTTATCGATTCGCTGTTCCATTGATTTGTTTTCGTCGCTTTTCGTTTAGAGTGAAAGAGAAATGATCAATGGAACGCTAGCGAAAAGTGAGGTTATAGAAAAATAAAGAGATAGATAAAACGGGGGGGTGACGAATGTCATGCATGAAAGTGATGAAAATTGGTGAGTAACAGAGTATATGCAGACACGATGCAGAAAGAATCCGATGTAAGTAGATCGCAGGCACAGGCAGCTTCTTCCTTTCTTTGCAACGACGAGACGTACCTAAATCGGATCTCTTCCAAGTCAAAAGGATATTCAATTATACCGGTAGTGGGCACTCTCACGCGAAGAATGTCCTGTTCTGTGGGGAGGTAGTTTGGTGCCGCGACTCGATCTATCTCCATTAAGTAACTGAAACATCATATTCTCAATACCTGATACGCAAGAGGAAGCACAGCACGTTCCCAAAAACGAAGCTACGCAAAAAGTATAATGAGTGTGTGTGACTGAATAAATCGAGATGGTGTAAATTAACATGTTCTATGAGAAAGTTATATCGGTCAACTGGAATCGAACAATTTCAAAATATAAGGGTGTTACTCCGCGAGCGGAGTGACTTACTATTTAGCGGAGTCTGTGAGCTGATATTCTCGCCTGCGATCGTAACACTCCTGGATGCCAGCGTCTGCCCACAAATCCTTGATTGCTTCTACGTATGGACTCTCAAACGCTGTGACTGTTTCGAAATCTACGCTCCGTACAAGTTCTGCCTTTTCCTACGATCGAATTCAAAAATCAGAATCATAATTGTCACGTGACTGTCAACCAATACATCTTCAAGTTACCATGTTAAAAAATTTCAAAGTTTGGAATACATTATGATTCTGTATATTTTGATCGGAATTGGTATTGTAAACATAAATTTTTCCCTTTCGATTTTTATAAGTCATCGTTACGTGATGACGATTTAATGATTTTTCACGTTGATGGTTTAATGATTTTTGTCGATGATGAGTTGATTTTTCATAATGATAATTTAATGATTTTTGTCGATGATGAGTTAATGATTTTTCATCATTATATAATAATTTTGTAATGTTTTCAGATGATGATTTTTCATCATTATATAATGATGATCTAATGATTTTTTATGATAATGTTCTGATGATTTCTCATGATAACGATTTAATGACTTTGCATGATAATGGTTTAATGATTTATCATAATGATAATTTAATGATTTTTCATAATAATGATTTCATAATTTTTCATGATAATGAATCAATGATTTTTCATGGTAATTCAATAATATTTTACGATGATGCTTTTTCATCATTATATAATAATGCTCTAATGATTTTTTATGATAATGGTTTGATGATTTTTCATTATGATTATTTAATGATTTCATAATTTTTCATGATAGATATAATGATTTTTCATAATGATGATTTAATGACATTTCATCAATCTGTGATGATGATTTTAAAATTTCCAAGCTTTGGAATCTAACATAATTTTGTAAACCTTGCATCCAATTGCTATTACAAATCTCTTTTTATATTTTTTATATCACTAAACAGGGCCAGCCTGGGCCTAGGTGGCCGCCTAGGGCCCCCATAAGGACGCCCTTTTGCGTCTCAGAATGCAAGAAGAGTAATTGATGTAAATGCAAATCTAAATTAGTTACACAAGTTTTAATGTTAATTTTATAAATTTTATTTGGGGTACTTTTTTTATGCCATATATGTAAAGGGGCCCTTTTTCGGAGCTCGCCTCGGACCCTCGAAATCTCAGGGCCGACCCTGTCACTAAATTATTAAAATAGTTATTTTTTCCATATTTTTCCTTCAATAGTAGGTACTCGTAGATCATTATTTTTGTTTGTTTTAATTTTATTTGAAATAAATTTCAATTCTAGACCTTCCAAGGTTCCATAACCTCGGGTCCCGGAAATTCTAATCCGTTCCTGAAGTCAACAAAATGAAAGTACTCACTATATTCGAAGATTCCCCGTACTGGATTTTGAGAAGTTCCATGGCTCGGATCATGGACTGCATGGCCATGAAAATGTTTTGATAGACGAGTTTGATGAACCCCCTCTTGTCGTCGTCCGAGTAACCAGAGCCGTGAATGATTCTCATCTGTTTGATGAAGGTGGATTTGCCGGATTCACCAGTACCTGTAACATAGTTCGTACATCATTAAGTTTTCTGGGTTACTTGCGCGCTACCGATTGGACTTGATTGATTAATGAATTTACGAGTTTCATTCATACGCCGGGAGATTCTATTGCATTAAGTGTCTGTTATTGCCAGTCAGCTTGCCTTGCAACTTCTTATTAGGAAGTGCAACCGTAGTAGTGTCAAACATGAATATATTCTCGTGTTTGGCTCGACCGAAACTGTTAATTAATAAAACGAGAGGCTCGTACAACGTTCGGTAATTAATACGTAAATTTAATTATTCGTTTGCAGCTGTAACTCATTAACTGCCTCGCTGCCAGCAGCGGGAAACGTAATTAGTCATTTGAAACGTGACCAAACGTTTCTACCTCCTTGAAAACGGAAACGGAGCCAAAGATTGCTATAAAAATTCGATTACAATGGAAACGGGGTAAGTTGGTCAGATTGTATGTCATGTTTGTTTATGTTGGTAGCAAAAATACGTGTAACAGAAAAGCAATGATAAAACGAATTAGAAACGACTGTACGGTATGCGCATTATTGAAGAATGACGGTCTAGCCAAAGCGCAGCTCAAATTAACGGATCTAACCTGACCTTCGCTGACTACGTTCGACAATTTTCGTACAACTGCTCGGTCTTTTCCGACTCGCCGGCGGAAAGACACGAATACCTACGATGCGAAAAACCGAGCCACCAAGCAGAAATGGAAACAGACAGCAACCTCAGGAACGTACCACGTCGAGTACCAAAGGGTGCAATTTGATATTTCCATGAAAAATTAGACAACGATATACTGCAATTGCACAAGCTTTTGAAAAGTCACTATGATCATTTTTCCTTCATTTGTGGTGCACATTTAACAATGAGACACGCCAGTATAATAACAAACTAGCTGTAAATAAATATTGAAATTCATGAAAAATAATTTAAAAAAAATAAATAAATATTGAAAATTATCATTAGAAACAGAATAGACTGTAGTATAACAATATATGTCAAATTATGGAAAATTGATTGGCTTTATAGAAGCTTTTTGCAGTGAAAAAGTAAAATTCGTTTGAACGTAAAAGATGAAAGAAAAAAGAACTGAAACACTAGAGTCTAGTAACAGTAATCGAGTATATAATAATGCGTTTATAACCGGCAGTATCCCCTGTCGTAACTAATACAATTTCTTTCCTTCTTTCTCGCTAATAATAACACCGACATTAAATAGGTTGCAAGCCGATTAATTCGACCCTTATCGGATCATACGCTCGGAAGTGTGCAAATTAATTTTTTCCGCAACGAGTCGCCTGATAAGTTACAAATTGTCAATCATATGATCATATAAAACGTTTCTTTTGTCGAATAAGGTGCATGGTTAATTCTAATTTGTTTAATTTTGTAGAAAAATATTTTTTGGCTTCTTTTTTCAAAATGTTATTAAAAAGACAGTATTTGTTAAATAAAGTCAAAAATTTTTGGTTAATATGGGTAAAAAGATAAATGTTGTTAAAGCTATAAAAAGTGTACAATTCTTCAAATATTCTCTTTAAAAATATCCAAACATATTCTTAAGATATGATTAGTCCCATCACTATTTGATAATTCTGAGAATAAGATTTTATGGCTCTAAAATTTCGAAATTCCAAAACTTCAAGATTTTCAGCTTTTTCTTAATTCTAAAATTCTTAAATTCTAAATTCCAGCATCCCAGAATTCTGAAATTCTCAAATTCTGAAAATTCGAAAATTCTAAGCTAAGATTTTAAAATTCCAAAATTCTAAAACTCTGAAATTTTAAAATCCTGAAATTCTAAAATTTTGAAATTCTAAATTCCAGCATCCCAGATTTTTGAAATTCTAAATTCCAGCATCCCAGATTTTTGAAATTCTTAAATTCTGTAAATTCCAAAATTCTAAAATTATGAAATTTCAAATTATAGAATCCTCAAATTTTAAAATTACTGAATTTCAAAATTCCAAATTTCTAAAATTCTCTTAAAATTTTATTTTGGTAGTAACAAATACTTTTGCCAAAATGCAATATTTAATGCCACTAAAAACATGTACTTTTATTAAAACCCATCCTAATAACATCTTTGCTTATTAAATTTGTTCCAAACTTAGCCTTATTTATTTGAATCTATCCAAATTTTACGCACCTTTATTAAAATCTATATACCTACACAACGTCATTTTTTAATAAATTTTTATTCTATCCTCACTTATTTTTAGAAGAAACTGCTCTAATACCACCTATCATTATTAAAATCTCTCCTAACAACATTTTGTTATCTAAATTTATGTAGTCCTACAAACAATGATATTTTTGTACCATCAAATTATAATAAAAGAAATTAAAATAGAATAGTATTAAACACTTGGCACTTGGAAATGAAATGAAATAAAAAAAGTTAAGTGTTATTGATTTAATTCTTATTTCGTACACAAAAAACATTTAAGCCTAGAGTACTCAGCAATCAAAGGGTTAAGGATGGAAAAATAATAAAATTTTTAAGGGGTGATTTTTACAAACAAGTCCCAAAACCTAATTTATAAATTTTTTTTACAAAGAAAACGTTGTGTATAAAAGTTTCAAATTTTTCCTAAAATTTTTATAAATCTAACCCCTTGAGCGAGGCCCACCAAAAAAATTAAGAATAATGCTTTGTTAATTAATTATTATCTGTAAAAGTTTCAAGATCGTCGGATTGGTGGAACACGGTTCGACGAAAAGAATAGGGAAGTGGAAGAATGAAACAATTGAACGATAGCAGTTGCGTGTCGCTGTACGTTCCTGAACGCAATGTAGTGGTGGGGGAACGGTACACCGGCAACGAATCGGGGTAAAAGATGGAGTGATGACAAAAGAGGATGCGCAGGTGGCACGCACGAACGAACCACACTTGCGCGACAGCACGGGGAGGGGGGAGGTACGGCGCCAACATCGCCCTCCTGAAATCATGAATGAAAACGAGCGAGCGGCCAGCACTGCTGCGTGCTATCTTACCACGACACACGAATTTCTTTTCGTCTCCCTTTCAAATACATACACTCCCTACTTCTGTTCCGTTCTTTTGTACGGTAGCGCTGTTCCGCTTCGCTCCGTCTTTTGTACGCGTCCTTGAGAAAAGACGAATCTCTCTTACCAACACGTCCTGCTGTTCTTCTCTGTACAACGCAACGCTCGAGGAAGGGAAATTTGTGTAACGGTGTGAATGACGGACGTAGATCATTTTAAGAGGTTTATTTAGGCACCTATCTCGTTTACGACGCGGAAACTCGGATCATTAGGCTATTGCAATGAGATTTAATCGTTGCAGGATGCTGGGGCAATCCTGACCCGGGTCTAACTGAACGTCACAGGGGTGAGGGGACTGGGTCGCTGGATCCACCTAATGCCCTCCAGAACTTCTAATTTTGAAGTGTCAGCGGTTACACTCATTGTCAGGCCCTCCAAACTCTACTCTTGTGAATTTGATGCGAATTTTAGTTCGTGCGTATTGGTACTAGGAGGCGGTGATGTCGCTTTTATGTGCATATCTTGTAAATTTTGCACCCTGGTTAAGATTTCATGACGTCATATTCCGCTTAGAATTTTTGTTATGGCTTCTTTATTTGATGAAGTGATTGAATTTTTAGTGAATTAACTGATTATTAACAATTTTTCTTAACAATTTTCCAATGGTCTACTAATGTTAGCAGAAATACTTAAATACATACAATATTTCCAGAATCACCCATAGGTTAGTGTATTATTTTAAAAGAATATTACTTTTAGTATTATCATTTTTCTTTCAATCACTTGTAGACTACTATGTTTAATTAATATGAATTTTTAAGGTTAGTATGTATGTATTGAGAGTATACTTTTACGATTAGTTTGACGCGATACTGACTTCTATCTCTAATCTGATTAGTCTGCATTAGTGATGGGTGATACAGTATCGATATTTTTTAGTTCGATTATCGATATTTTGTATCGATATTTAACATGACGATATATTGCAGTATCGATACTTAATATATGAATATCGAAATTTTGATACAATGTATATACAATAAGGAGAAAATTAGATAGAAAAATATTTTGTATATTTATTTATATATGTATATAGAATGTATGCAATATTGATCTCAATGTATAGTAATACATAAGTTAATAAATAGTTATGTAAACGTAAATTAGATACAAACTGTTAACAGAAGATCTGTATATAGATTCTAAATAATCTTCGTAATGGATGCTCGTCCAAAAAAATTAAATTATTAATTATAATAATATGTTTATCATATATAAAACATATTTGAATAAATAGTCAATTTTTTACTGAACTTCACTTCTAATTTAATTGTATGTATTGATATCAATAATATCGATACTTCATTCCCAATTGATGTATATCGATACTTTGGTTATCGATACGTTTTGATATCCAATATCGATACAATTTATAAATATGCCCATCACTATCCTGCATAGACGAGCATCAAAACGCTGTAAAAGAAACTAATCTAACCTAACACGTGAAAAGTGCATTTAGATGAAGACATTTTAATTTTTCCGCCAAAATAAGCGTCATCTATGCGCATCTTTTTAGGGGCATCGACTTCGCTCATTGGATGAATTATAGGTAGAATCCAATATGGCATCAAATTAACCTCAAAAGTATGTTAAAAATGCTCAGCTATAACTTTTCGATAGATTCCTAAAGTTAAAACTTATATTGCTGAATTTTCCTTTTCGAATACTATTAAAATACATGAAAAGAGTTAATAATTAAAAGTACCCTAAAGTAAAGTTCAGCCCTTTTGAATACTGGGAAAGTAATATGTATGTATTTAGCACATCCACTGTGACCACCCGCCTAGCGCGAGAAAGCCTTTTATTATTCTTTTGTTCTCAACTAATCCTACAACGAACGTGTTGAAGGGATAATTTAGAGCTTAGAAAATAGAATGAAATTTAAATTGTTGCATATCTTAGCCATCTGCCATTAATCATTTAATA